CCGATGCACACCTCTATTGAGAAGGGTCTTTGCTAGGTATAAAGTTGGAGTCCAAGTCAATGACTCGACTCATTACAACACTGAACTACACTGCTTGAAAGTAACAGAGAGCATTGATATTTATCATAAGATTACGCATCCCGCCAACTTCATCTCTCGCAATTTTTTAACAAAACAAAAATAAAAGTACATACACTTGCGTCCTGTTGCAGAAAACATTCATTAAGACATATAAAAAAAGAAAAAGTATATATTAGTTCTGGGACAGGTTATTCGAAATCTGCTTATCCTGGGTTAATGTAAATTTATCTCATTGTTAAAAACCATGAAATTAATGAATATTTTAAACCAGAGAGAGTCTGAAAACTCAATATGAATCCTGGTTTCGCCTCAGACATCTTCAAATGTTCAGTTACGTATTTTGTTATATGACAAGCATCACTTCCGGTGAAATGGCAGACTGTGATTGGCTGAGAAGCTCTTTCAGCGGCCATTATTTTCCCGTAATGAACGTACGCATTTTAAAACAAGACAGCAAAACTAATTGAAAATTTGAAAATAGTTTAATTTGTTATTCATGAGATATCCGCGAATGGTTTTTAGTGGAAAGAAATACATTTGGTATTTTTTGTTTTCTTCGACCAAAATGTGTACCACCAGGGCTTTCAGAATTATTCTGAGTAGGTGGCTGTGTGGAGCAGTCTATAGGGAGTCTTAACCAGATTAAATCGACATAAGTTTATATTGATAAGACACCAACACAACTGAGCTCTGTAAAGTGCAACCAAATTATAATGTATACTTTCATTCTTCAACAAGATAACTTCAAGATTTAAGATGGCAAATAACTAAATCAGTTTCACGAAAAACTACGTTGTTTTCGAAAATTTCTAGGCAGGCCATAAAGTAGACCTGGTTGAGGAAAAATAACTTTGTATTTCTCTGTACAGACCTCGCGTTCGGTTAATCAAGAAGTTAATAATATCATCATCATATCATGCATATGGCATGATTTCATACCATTTTCCACGCAAAACAACCAGTATATATACTTACGCCCTTCTTGTCCACGATTTCCCAGTCAATATTTAAACTGAATGCAAATGACGCCAGTACCCTGGAAAATATATAATTCACACAATTGTTATTACTGTAAAATGGTTTTTTTTTAATAAAATAACCTATTTTAGTTGTTCTGTGTATGTCTAGTGATATAAAAACCTGGTAAATTTAAAATCAACTTTTTTATTAAGCTTTCCTCCATGCATCTGATTGAATACATTCAACAGAATTGCATGTACACACCTTAGTTCGCATTTTATCTGCACCCATCCTGGACTACGGATAAAAGACCAGGGGTAGAACCTATAAGTGAAACAACACATGCACAACTCATTCTTTTGCTCGTTCTTTTAAAAAGCTGTTTTCTATTTCATGACAAACACCAAACTTGTTTACAGATTCATTTCAAATTAGGAATGATAGCAGGGCTCAAAATAACGGCCGGTCACCGGTCAATGACCGCAATTTTAATATGATTTTAATATGAACGACCACATTTTGGCTCTGGGAATGAGATTAATTTTTGTGCTGTTGTGGATCCGTTAAATATTATGTTAGTTTGTAAAGATTTTATTCATATTATCATTAAACTTTTCATTCAAATTTAAGTCGTTGAATTTCTTATGCTGCCCACGTTGTTCACACTTGTCAACAATATTGAACAATATTGTCGAGCCTGACAACTGTGAACAATGTGGGCACCAAAACATTGTTCAAACCAGTTTTCATCAACATTGCAACATCGTTTTTAGCCGTGTAAGATATGACGAAGTTTATATTTAAAACTTTAATTGTGTTAGAATCATATACTGCGTGCATCTCGGCATCAACAGATCGAAATTTGATCGTTGTTTAATACATTGAGTGAGCAATGCGTTGCAGGGAGGCGAGTATTCGTGGGGTCTCGTGGGAGTTGACCGGTCAGAAATCGCATCTGCATGACCGATCACAATTTGAGCTGACCGGTCACAATTTGAGCTGACCGGTCACCACGACCGGCGCAACATGAAACGTTATTTCGAGCCCTGGATAAACCTACCATTTATTGACGATGTCTTCAGATGAACACAATGACTCGAACCACAGATGAAGGCATTGTTCACTAGAACGAAAATAGCAAATATGAATGCCATGAACATTGCTCACATGAAAATTATTATATGATTGTCCACTCACTTTAATCCATAACATATCAGTGATCGCAACTAAAACAGAACAAGAAAGAAGAGATCAAAAGAAAAAATGAGTAATGTCATGTGTTTCCTTCCAGAATCTCGGAATCCTATACTGATTCAGACAAGATCTCTGAAGAAATATTTCCAAATTTGTAAACAAGCAGTTGGAAAGTTTGCTTTGAATTTTAGGTTACCCCAGGGTTAAGCTAACCCAGCTTTGAACAACTGGCCCCAGATGATTTTGAAATCAGAAATCACAAAAGTTCTTGCAAAAGGCTTAAGCGTCCCTCTTACGTGTTTCAGATAATATACTTCATAATTATAACAATATGTTATTTTAAAATATTTCCAAAGTCTAAGTAAATGTATTTTCAGGGCATTGAAATTAATGTACAAAATTGCTGCAACTGATATTTCCAAGAAATCTTGAAATCAGTGTTGAAATCAGCAGAAATCAAGCGATTTCGAAATATCGCACGCTTTGAACAGCCGCGTAGCGGACCTTTTGTAAAAATCATTATACCTTAACATCCATTTGTGTTTTCGCGCTGTCATGAGTCATATTGATAGATTGCACAGCCTTGAATTAATAAGAACAGAATTAATACTATAACCATAGCACAGCCACAGGAATTCCTGACTTGACGGCAAGGAGAGCTAGTTAATAGACAAGTTGCATGTAAATAAGTTAGACTAATTTTTGATCTAAGCAAAAAAAGTAAATTTCCGTGAAGAACTTATTAAAATCAGTAAAACTGCAAAATTTGGTTACGAAATGTTGTAAAATACGGAAAATATAGCCTTGCGAAGTTTGCCTATTTTGTATACGTTTGTATTACGTGCATGCGGAAATTGTTACCATTTTTGAGCCGAAAATGGTAACAATTTCCGCACGTAATACAAATATACTGAAAATATGCAAAATTTGCAAGGCTATATTTTCCAAGTTTTACAACGTTTCACAACCAAATTTTGCAATTTTACTAATTTCATTATGTTCTTTTTAGCAGTAGTGTTTGATTCCCTTCTCTTTACTTCGATCAAAATTTAGTCTAACATGCAAGTTGTCTATTGCAACAGAAGAAACTTTTAATGCTGTCATCACTGATTGGTTGCGAGTTGACCTGATCACAGGCAAGGTGTTAACTAGACTTGCTCCAAGTCTCTCTTTCATTGTCATATAGTATCGATCCACTATAGTGTACATTACATGACGTAGCACGGAGGGGCGGAGCGAGAAAGAGAGACTTGTCAACTTCGGAAAATCTCGGTTCAAAACTGAACCAAAAATGCAAGACTTGCTTTAATTGTTT